TTCAAGTCTGTTCTGACAAGGTCTTGACTTTCTCAGAGACATTTCAACATAGGTGCCAAACATCAGTCATCACATCAGTTGTCATTTATTGGTATTGTGTCCCCTTATAAGATGAGAGTGCTATTGTCAGCATATGTTTTTGAAGACCTATACATAAAGACACCATGCTGGATGCTCTTATCAGAGAAAAAACAATACTTAGACAAGTCATCTTCATTTCCTGTCCCCCAAATCTCTCATTTATAAAGAAGTAGGAATTTGGACGATTTGATATCTAAAATAATTCTTTCTGCTCATTTTATGAATCCCCATAAAATTCCTGCCCCCAAAAATGTTACTTTATAAGACTTCTAGATTTCACTTAGAAAGTGGAAAAATAGAAAGTGTTGGGATGCCTGGGTGATTCAGTGGTTGAGTGTCTGCCTTTGGCTCAGGGCGTGATCCCGGGGTCCCGGGATTGAGTCCCACATCAGGCTCCCTGCGTGGAGCCTGCTTCTCCCTCTGCTTGTGTCTCTGCCTCTCATTAATAAACAAAACCTTAAAAAAAATAAAGTGTCAAATTCAGCATGAGGTTAGAGTTCTGTCTCTAGCATTTCTGTGGTTTGTGCTAACTTGGGCTGCTGTTCAACCCCTCACTTCTGATTACTCACCAGCATGATGTTTCGTCATTTCACTGAGGAACTGTGAACCCTTTACTCTTTACACACTCTCCACAAGGATGTCTTCTTGTGCTTTCTGTGTCCTTTCTAATGCATCTCCTTTTCAGGTAGAGTTATCCATGGAGGACATTGAAACTATCTTAAATACACTCATTTATGATGGGAAAGTGGAGATGACTATCATTGCTGCAAAAGAAGGCACGGTTGGCAGTGTAGATGGACACATGAAATTGTACAGAGCAGTCAATCCAATCATCCCGCCCACAGGTTTGGTCCGGGCCCCATGTGGACTCTGCCCGGTGAGTTAAAGTGGCTCCACTTCATATCTGACTGTGCAAATGCCACCTAACTTAACAGCAAGCACACCCCCATTTTCTGACTTTCAGAGTTGACCAAGAGCAGCTCAAACCTCCATGTAACCTTGATGATGGGCCCTTGATGAACAAGTCCTTGCTTTACATTTTTATTTACAATAACCACACTAGGGAAATTTGTGATTTTTTCCTGTAGGCCCTGAAATGGACAATGTTTAATGAGGGCTGATCATTTAACCTAAGTAAGGAGGGAAATAAGATTTGTTGAGAACCTACCACAGGCCAAGCATGTTCTTGAAGATTTATATGGTCTCATTTTATCCTCCTCCTGTCCCTTGGAGCTAGTGATGTTATTTCTGCATAAGCATGAGGCTAAGCAAGGTGTAGAAGCTTCAGCTTAGAAGTAACAATCAGGATGCAAACCCAGAGATGTTTTTTCCCCTGTATCATACCTCCAGCACTCTTCATTCATCTGTTCCCACATAGTTCACACATGCCAGCTGCATGCTGCAGGCACTGCATATTCTTGGGCTTCTGGTGTATGTTTTATTTCACTGTACCAGCCCTTGTCTATATGCCTAAGCTTTCTGTATGCTGGCTTCAACTTCTAGAAAAACCAGAAAGCATATTGGGAATTCTATTTAGCACCATTTACAAAAAGAAACGTAGCTAACGTGAAACATTTGATTAGTGAAACATATATCTAGATCTGCTCTCCTGTATTCCTGTTACCTGCTGATAGCCTTTAGCCCGGTGGGCAGATGAACAGGTCACCTTAGTGCTACAGTGAAAGTTCTCTTATTAACTCACTTTATAATCACATAGCAAGTCCTATGATGCTCTTAAATACAGCCCTAGTCTTTCACTTTGAAAATTTTAAATATTGCTTTAAAAAATGGTTGGTCTTGGACACTTTAACAGAAATTTTAGTTGTAGGTGACATTTAAGACTTTACTGATAATGTAATAATTTTAAAACTCTCGTTTGATTGTAATTTTTTTTTCTTTTTTAAAGGTTTTTGACGACTGCCATGAAGGTGGTGAGATTTCACCATCTAACTGTATTTATATGACAGAGTGGCTCGAATTTTAACAGAGAACTAGGAACTTTACTGACATTTTGCAGATGAAGTTACTTTGGGACTAAAAAAATTAACTCATGATGGAATATCAAATTTCCTTGAAAGCAAACTTCACAATAATGGATAGACTTGCTGCTATGAAAAAATATTTTTTTATCTTTGAAGACTAAATTTATATTGGTAAGGTAGCCAACAGAATTTGAAGCAGGTAAGGTTAACAGTGAAATCCATTCTTCAATAAATAAAATACTCTGAACTTCCAGAAGGCCACCATCTGAAGCTTTCAAGACTTTTGGTGATTCACAGAAAAAGCAGCCAACCAAATCCGTATTTGCCAAACACTACAATAATGACTAGAGTTTAAAATGCCCATTTTAAAGCTATTAAGGTCTTCATTGGGAAACTTTATATCTGGTTCATTATTGCCATTTGTTTTCTCAGTGGTTTCATTGAGAATCAAAAGCAGTAAGGCAGGAATAGCACTTAGAGGCACAAGTGGCGGAAAGAGTGGAACACCCCTTTCCATACACTATTCATTCCTTTTTATGTCAGAAATATTCTTTCAGAGGATTATGCTGTTGTACCTCCCTCAAATGCAAATGATGACTATTGTCAAAAATGTTTTCAGCGCATAAATCTGATTATTCTCATCCTCAAGAGAATGTTTTCATTGATCCTTCTTTGTCAAAGTCTTCCAAGTTTCATTCTGTGGTTCAACTGCATTATTTGCTAGAATTGCCCCATGATCCATTGCCCTCCATTCACCCTTTATTGTCAACAGGGTACCACTCCTCTTTTATCTTATCTTAGATTTATTTCCTTACTCTCTAAAAATCATCATGTAATTGGTCTAATCAGAAAGCCATTATAATTGTTCTCAGTTCTAATAGTACTTTCAATTCTAGGTTATTGGATGTATTCTTGCACAGAAGTTAGCTTTTTAGGATTTCAGTTGTATTTTCACTCTGTTGCTCCACTTAATGATTTCTGTGTCCAGGCCAAAAGCATGGCTAAGGGAAGGAAATTCAATGCCAGCTACTCCTGAGGCCTGAGTTCAAACACCAGTTTGGAGATACTCCCAAGTTGGCAACCATCAGAAGGGTTATTTAGAGCTAAATGGGGATCAGTAAAATAAAACTCAGCACATTAACCAACTAAGAACCAGATGTAGTCTGTGCCTAGCTCTGTAGAAACACCATTCAAGGGATGCCTGGGTTGATCAGTGGTTGATCATCTGCCTTTGGTTCAGGGCATGATCCTCGGTCTGGGGATCGAGTCCTGCATTGGGCTTCTCATGGGGAGCCTGCTTCTCCCTCTGCCTGTGTCTCTGCCTCTCTGTCTCATGAAAAAATAAAATCCTTAAAAAAAAAGAAAGAAACAGAGTTTGATGACACTAGCACTTTGAAACAAAGATCATTTCAAGTACTGGATATATAGGAGATAGAAAAGAATCTGGGAGCCTGCAACTACACAGGGTTTCTCTTCCACCCCCAGTGAGGGCTGAAATAGTAAGAACATTATCCATCCTTCTTAGGACCTGGCCCGTCACAGAGGCACTAGTTTTAATGACAAAACTGAACTTGGGTTGGGGAAGAGGTAGATGGGAAGAAGGAATCAGTTCATGTATTAAATACAGACTTTGCATTGTCTCAATAGCCAAAGATTGATGCTTAAAGTGTACAAACCAAAGGCTACAACAAAAGTTCCCTGACTTACCAGAAGAGAGACCCTTTAAATGCTTTTCCCACAGCATGTCTTTCATTCTGAATATTAACAACTGAAGGAGAAAAGAGAGCAATTAAAAAATACAGCACCCTTGGTATATAGTTAAATGGTATTTACCCACCAGAAGTAAACTTTGACCAAAACAAGTCATGAGGCCATTGACTCATGACACCAAAAAATCAAATTGTGTGTGAAGTCTTAATCCTGGGATCCCTGGGTGGCGCAGCGGTTTGGCGCCTGCCTTTGGCCCAGGGCGCGATCCTGGAGACCCGGGATCGAATCCCACGTCGGGCTCCCGGTGCATGGAGCCTGCTTCTCCCTCTGCCTGTGTCTCTGCCTCTCTCTCTCTCTCTCTCTGTGACTATCATAAATAAATAAAAATTAAAAAAAAAAGTCTTAATCCTTACAGTTGATTTTCATTTAGTATAACGTATTTTGATTACCTGAGAATATTCCCTAGAGCCTGTCAGGGCCCCTCTTCTGCTTAACAATGATCTAGAAGGGGCGCCTGGGTGGCTCAGTTGGTTAAACATCTGCCTTTGGCTCAAGTCTGATCCCAAGGTCCTGGGATGGAGCCCTACTTTGGACTCCCTGCTCAGCAGGGAGTCTGCTTCTCCCTCTGCCCTCCCCTGCCGCCACTCATGATCTTTCTCTCTTTCTCTCTCAAATAAATAAAATCTTTTAAAAAATAATAATGATCCATAGGGAGTCAAATAATCATGAGACCATGATTCCTAGGTTTAAATGGATAGTTTATGTAGGATTCTTCCATAAAACTCCTGAGTTTAGTTTAGTGAGGAGTAAATTTTATGGTGCCATGATTTTTATGGTGATCAGCTGAGTAAATGAGTCCTGTAATTTCAAGTCAAGTGACTTTTACTTTGAACCATTATTACATGGTGGGTAAGGGAAGAATAAAAAATACATGTCCTAGACTACTGCTGTCCCACGAACTTTTTATAATGATGACAGTATTCTGTATCTGCTGTTCAATAGGTAGTCACTTGTGGCTGTTTAGACTTGAAATGTGGCTAGTGTGTGAATGAACTAAATTTTTAATTTTATAGCTGCCTGTGGTTACTGGCTACCATAATGGAGAGTACAACTCAACAATCATACAGGTCTAGATTAATTACAGGAATGAAGAATATCAAAATTATTTCTCAATCGTATATATTCATTGCTTTTCTGTGGCGGAAGAAGACAACAAAATATTAACTGTTACTTGTATAACTTTGTAATTTTTTGAGAAAGGAATTAGGAAAACAAGGCCAAGATTAAGTACAGCAATGGCTAATTCCAAATAATTCAAATAGAATCAAACTTTGGCTACAGGCTTGGTCAAATCACTGCTAAACCACCTCTTTAAGAAAATTATTATTCAGTTGATTTTTCTAATTTGCTTTTCACTAACATGTCAACTCTTAATTTTTTTAATTATAAAAGTAATACATACATGTTAACTATAACAAATTGAAATAATACCCAGGTGTACAAAATAAAAACACACATATCTAGAACCCCACCACACAGTATCTAAAATTCCCATTCCCTAAGATAATTGCTATTAAAAAGTTGAGAGTCTTTAACTTTTTTCTTTGAGCATATTTGGAAACCAAGACTTTTCAGGTTAAAATTATGGCTTTGAATCTCCTTTAGACATAAACAGGGAATTCACATCTTTGCAGCAAACATCAGGTTCTGCAACATCAAGTATGAAGTCACTGCAAAATTGTTTGAGGCAATACTTAGGGATCATAATAGCCAAAAAATGTTGGGAAATAAAGCTTTGTGGGGTTTTTTTTTTTTTTGAGGGAATATGATCCGAAGAAAAATTGTAAAATGAGGCTTAAAAGAGAACCGTGGAAGTTAAAGGTAGAACTCTTTATAGAACAAAATCTGAGATATGGAAAGACTTTTTAAAAATTCTTAAGATTTTGTAACAACATCTACATTGTTCCTGTGATTGTATCCTCTGACATTATGTTCATTTCTCAGGCTTCACAGAGAATCTTTTAAGTACCTGGCTAAGTTAATCCTAATGGCAGAAGTCACAAATGGGTGGTTTGGATTTTGTGTCTTGCACTGTTTGTGAATTTTTTATTTACACTGTTGTTGCCAACTTATATCATCCATATGTACATGTACTGGACATAACTCCTATACATATGAACTGGGTATACAAACATGTATAGTCCTTAAATATAAAAACCACCGCATGAAGTTTTTTCCTCAAAAAGTCAGAAAATTGGCAACACCTGCCCCTTCCCACATGGCAACAATTTAGACAGGGCAAGAGTTCCCCATGTTGCCCTAATCCCCACCACTGTGGTCCAGCACCCATCTGGTTGGCCTTATGCTCAAGTATATGTACAGGCTGGGCTTATGGTCCCTTGTCTGACCTGGTAGACCCCTGCCTCAGATCTGTATGGATCATTCTCCCTCAACATGAAGGACTGGGGCAGGGCGTCAAGATGGAGGCCCTAGTCTGGGTTTAATGTCCTGGGCCAGCTCAAAATAGCTAATGGTTTGAGCTCTAAACCAACACTTAGACCTTAATCACATTTTCTTTCCCCCTCAAAATAGCAAAAGTTGTCTTTCAAAGAAGAGTACCACTCCTACAACATACACGAAACTATTCCGTTTTAGTCTGGACTGGGAATCAGGAAACCTGGAGTCCGTTTGTTTATTCACTTTGGACAAAGGTAGTTAAGCCATCCTTATGTCCCAAATCAAACAGGAAAAATACTGCTTTCGTTCATAGCAGTTTGTGAGATAATAGATCCTATGGAAAATGGAAATGCTGTTTGTAACTTAATTTGAACATTGAGCTAAGTTTTTCAGAACTTAATTTGATCTGTTTTATGTGTCTGATAATACACAGAATAATCTGTTTTATCTAATCTGATAACAGATTGTTTTTATCTGTTAATAACCTGGTAATTGCCCTACCCCTATACTGGAATGCAAAATAGCAGAAATCATCCTCTCTATGCTGGTACTTTCAGCATAGACTTTATCACACTAATCAGTTCATGAAACTCCATGTTCTGAAAGTGGCCACGGTCAGTGAATTTGTACAATTTGGCTTCCAGCCTATCAGCCACTTCTTGTTGTTCCTTCCAAGGAAGGAAAGGATCATCCGTGGAGCCAAACTGCACAATGTGAGGGCAGTTGGCTTTGATCCTCTCCCACTGCCAGGGACGGTTGAAGTATCCTATGGGGAAAAAAAAAAAAAAATATATATATATATATATATATATATGTATATATATATATGACCTGTTACTGCCCATGGATCATTTCCATTTAGCCATTGTAAAGTATCTAGCAAGGACCATAGCAGAGACAAGAACCATAGCAGAGACACAAAGAATCAAAGCCTAAGTGTGAGTTAGAAGTCCTTTAGTTTGCAAATCTGTAGAGCTTTATACCATAGCTACTTGTGAAGGGGAGTACTTGGCTCTGATCAAATCAGGCCTCTAGAGTTCATTAGGAAGTGGTATATCACCTCTCAAAAGACCTAATTTTTATCTAAAGGGCAATAAATGTTTCTCATATGCTACTAAAGGTGTTTGTTTGTTTTTGGCCTATCCAAAAGCCAGTGCTCTTTAATCTGAACAGGCAGCCCTGTGACTAGAGGAAAGGCTTTTCTGTATTGGTTTCTGCCTTCAAACTTACCACTGGCCCGTTCATTTTCATCCCCCAAGTCGGAGGTGTATGCAGACACTAGCACAATAGCATAAACTCGGTGTGTTTCTGCATACCTGGAGAAAGAGAAATGATGTCAGCTAACAATGTTAAATCTGACTGTCAGAAAATACCTGATTTAGCTTACAAAAGGCAGGTGCTATCAGCTGTTAAGTTTTTTTAGATTTGTTTGGTTTTTTAAAATTTATTTATGATAGACATAAAGAGAGAGAGGCAGAAACACAGGCAGAGGGAGAAGCAGGCTCCATGCCAGGAGCCCGATGCGGGACTTGATCCCAGGACTCCAGGATTGTGCCCTGGACCAAAGGCAGGCGCCAAACCGCTGAGCCACCCAGGGATCCCCCAGCTGTTGAGTTTAATATGAACAATAGTAAGGAAACTGTAGAACTATAAGCCAATGGTTAATGGCTTACCCTTGGCTACTTGATGAGCTACTACTCATTTTTCAAGGTGGTCCAAACCTCTTTGGTGATCTTTTCCAAAAATACATTAAGTGTAATCATTCTCTTTGATGTGCCTATTAACCTACCTTCAGTATCCATCAGCATTGCTTGGTTGGTTAACCTGTAGATTCAGTCCCAGAGAGCATCTGATTCAGAGGGTTGGTAGGAAGCCCAGGGATCTGCATTTTAAGGCATGACCTCGCCCCCTCCCAACCCATATGACAAATGCAAGTGATCTGTTAACCATATTTTAAGAACTACTGTACCATGGTGGAAATGTACCTCTTTTGCCACACACTCCACATTGCACTGTAGTACTCATTTGTGTCATACCTATCTTCCCCAATAAACCCTCAGCTCCTTCAAGGCAGTTGTGAACCTTCTTGATCTTTGTGACCCTGGTCACAAAGTGCACAGTACAGAGCCTGGCAAGCAGACACTCAGCTACCTTTTTGTAGAAAGTTCCCTCTAGGGGAACTTTGTTCTAGGGAACAAAGACTAGGCTAGGGAAAGATGTGAAGTGGTAATAGTTTCAAGAAGCCTTTGTGCCAGGAAAGATTTAGGGTTGGTATTTTGTTTTTGGCCTTAACTTTTGCCCAACTACTTGTTTTGAAAAATTTCAAACCTACATAAACCTTAGGGGAACAAGAAGCACCTAGATTCATTCACTTTATACCTAAACAAATGTATCCCCTAAGAACAAAGTAGTCTCATATATCCACAGTCCCATTATTAGAGCTAGTACACTCAACATGCAGACAGTAATACTATCTGTATTCATTTTACCCCCATTGTACCAAGAATGTTCTTTAAAACTGCTTTTCAATCCTAGATTGAAGATCATGTACTGCATTTGGTTCTCAGGACTCTCTAGTTACTTTTAAATTTTTTGTTTTAAATGACATTGACATTTTTTAAGAGTTTAAGCCAGTTGTCTTATACATCATCCCTAAACAGAATTTATTTCCTTGTGATCAGAGGTTAAACATTTTGGGCAAGAATACCACATAGGCAATGTGTCCTTCCCACTCCATCATATCAGAGATGCACAATGCCAGTGTCCCTTTATTGGTGAGATTGTGCTTACTTAAAAGTGATAGCTATCAGACATCCATTGTAAAGATGCAATTGTCCCCTTTTGATTAGTAAATTATCTGGGGGGTGGTTCTCTGTGACTATCAATATCCTGTTCCCTGACAATCTTATACGTCATAGTTTTGGCATCTATTTTCTCCTTGCCTACCTTACCTTTAGAAGTTAATTTTTAGAAGGCTATGGATAATCCTGTGCTAAGTTCCAGGGATCTTTACAAAAAAGCCACATCTTTGGTAGCCAGTGGCCTGAGAAAAACTCATCTGGCCTTGAGTTGGTACAAATTTCAGTAAAATGGGATTTGTCCATTTTCCAGACAACCCCTAGCAGCTTATAAACACTAAGACTGTACTGAGAAATTCTGTAGCTCCACATTGGAAAGCATGATCTCATAGCTTAGAATGGTGTGGCAGAAAGGTTATGGAATCTGGCAAGGTTCTCTGACATGCAATTCATAGGACACCATGAGTGACTGATTGGGACAAGAGGCTACAAAAAACTACATTCCTGGGCAGCCCCGATGGCCCAGCAGTTTAGCACCGCCTTCAGCCTGGGGTGTGATCCTGGTGACCGGGGATCGAGTCCCACGTCGGGCTCCCTGCATGGAGCCTGCTTCTCCCTCTGCCTGTGTCTCTGCCTCTCTCTCTCTCTCTCTGTCATGAATAAATAAATAAAATCTGAAAAAGAAAAAAAAAAAAAACTTCCTTTGTCATCCAGCCTAGCAAATACTTAAGAAACCCAAACCTAATATGCTTATTCAGCCAGCTAAGTCATCCTCTAGGCCTTATAGGTCTATAGGGAGAGACATGAAGTTCTAACCAAGAACATCAGGAACCTGCCATGAATCCTAAAGGTGGGGGTGGGGTGGGTAGGGTAAACACTCTTCTAGGCACTGAGGTTTCAGTGTCATTGAAAAAGTCCCAATGGAGGGAAGTTGTGGCTTCAGTGGAAATGATTAGAGTAGGCCTCAGTGGAAAGAGACATTCGAGTAGAGACTTAAAGACAAGAAAGCAATACAAGTATCTAGGAACAGAGTATCCCAAGCTGAACGGCGGCAAGCACAGGCCTAAGGCACATGAACTTGGCATGTTCAAGGAACTGCAATGAGGTCTGGAACCACTTGGAGCCCACACAGGGGGCGGGGAGGGGGGATCAGCGAGGATCACACCTCATGGCTGCAATGGCCCCAGAACTGTGGCCTATGATGACAGTCTTCTCATCACAGTGCAGCTCCGTCTCCATGAAGGGCAGCCAGAGGCTCTCTCGAGCTGTAACTAAGATTTGGGGTAAAGAGACAGTATCATTTGACAGGGACAGTCCTACTGTCTAGTGCTGTCCCCCCACCCCCCTTCTAACTGATGACTATACAGTACTTCTCAGGTTAGGACCAAATGGGAGATGGAGGTGTTTTAACAGAGCCAACGATTCATGTGTTGCTGTTTGAAAGACTCAAATCTACAGTTTGGTGTTTCTCTCTCTCTCTCTTTCTACCTACCTATCTGGTTTTGCTTTTATTTCTCACCATGTTCTTGTAAGAAAATACTGAAGTAATGATAAAAACATAATTCAGAAGCTTTAATGTAAACTTTCAAACTCAAGAAAAAAACTCTAGACAACATTCTCAAATTCACATGCCTATATATTCTTTCTTTCCAAAGAGAAAATTCTCGACACAAATCATGGGCATAGAACAAAAGTGGCAGTGTTACATTTTGAAATATTCCAATCTCATATAGGTGCTATAAAGTTTCATCATATCTCTGTCTCACATGAGATATTCATAAATTTTGCTTGAAAATATCTGTTGACTTAGGGAAAGTCAAGTTGCTTGCAAAGTTGAAAATTCAATTTTACCAAGCCTAGATGCTTTTCTTGATCCTTACTAGAATTTTCTACAATTTTTTTAGTTTATACTCTTTCCCCTCAAACTACTTGCCATCATTCATTCTTAGGTATATATTCCCCTTGGCCTCTTTACCTCGATAATCCTGTTCTCTATCAGGAAACCGGTGAAATCAAAACCCAATAAGATAAGGCTATTTAAAAAATACATTTAAAACTTACTTGGGTCAGGCATGTTTTTAGCCAAACACTGGAAACCAGGTATCTATAAAATGGGGGGAAGGGGAAAAGCTATAATAAAGAGCTTAATTACAATTAATACTTTGCTAATAAAAAATGAGACACCTGATACAATCTTTATCAATTCAGTAAGTATTTGCTTATACCATGAAATGAAGTGTTGGTTAAGTGTCATAGGATTACATATGAATAGACAATCCCTCCCAATAAACTCCTTCTGTCTGTAGTTCTCTAGCCAGCTCTGTCAGTCTCTATATACAGAGACCTATATCTGCATTTGTACATCTGTTTGTGGCTGTAGGCACATAACTATAGAGGCATCAGAATGCAGGATAAATGCATTCTAGACAAACTGACCCGGTGTCAGACTGTGCACTAGGAAGAGGTAAAACATGGTACAGAAACGTGGTACAGAAACGTGGTACAGAAAGTTGGAGATCCTACCCTCTTGGACAGCTTCAGCCCTGATCTTTCTGGTTTGTAGCTCTGGCCTTGGTTTTCAGGCATAACCCTGGAATTTTATTCTAGAAATGTACTCTAGAGCTCTAGAGCATGGCAACCCAGAAAGCAGTCCTATTGCCTGGTTATGGAAGAGGTTAAAAAACAAGACAACTACAGTTGGACACTACTTTTATAAAGCTCACAAAGAAGCCAAATTATACTGTTTGAAGTACACACACATAGTTGCAAAAGTGTGTTCATTTTTAAAAGGCGAGCAAATGAAAAAAAAAGTTCAGGATGGTAGGGAAATGGGATGAGGGGCATACATGTGGCTTCGAAGGTATTGTTAATGTCACAGTTTTAGTTTGGTGATGGTGCCTCAGGTACTCCTATTATACTTCATAATTTACATATGTTACATCGTTTTTGTATATTAAATATTACATATTGATTTTTTTTTCGATCTGAGGCAGGGAGCAGAGCAGCAAGATGTACAATCATCTAGCAAGTGGCAAATCTGAACCAGCAGCAGATGCAGGGAGACGGAGGGGGCTCTAGGAGGTGGTGCTTTGTACCCTCACGACTGAGCTCTCAGAGAAGTCTTCCAGGCTGTTTCATCCACCAAAATTCCGACCACTAGCTCTCGAGTTTGAGACAGGGCCCAGGAAGAGGAATGAAAACACAGAGGGCTTTGCTGCAGGGGGTGTGTTGGGGCGGGGTGGGGGCTGGTGGACACACGTGCAAACTTCAGTCCTCCGTCCCTTCCGGCTCCAGACCTCCCAGCGCAGCCAGGCGCGTCTCTTACCTGCTCCAGCCCCTTCTTCACCCAGCCGTACCAGCCGTGGGTGGCCACATCCCCGCCTCCGTTCCCGGGAACAATAACCGCCTTGCTTGGGAGAGCCGTGAGCGCAGAAGATCCAGCGTCGCCCAGCAGCCGAGTCTCTAGTCCGGGAGCCCCAGACGTCACACGCTGCGGAGCCGCCCCGAGGCATTCTGGGAATTGTAGTTCCGGGGCGCCGGTGGGCCGGCTCCTTGACCCGCGTCCTTAGCTTACCAGGCCGCTAAAGCAAACTTAACTATTTCCAGCAAAAGGATGTGAATCGCTCTTCACTTGCCTCTTACTAGCGTTCTCGTCCCTTCCTCACCTTATTTAGGATAGGCTGTGACACCGCCTAGAATATGTTCTCTCTATACTATAATTGTGATATATTTCTATAGGACAGTGTGTTTTTAGTTCCAAAAATACAGAAATAACGTATTTATGAGTCGAGGACTCTCGGAATTCTTATTACTTTTCCTTTTAATTTCAAAACAGTTATTAGTACAATACTTACCGTCAGCCCTGGTTATTGTTTTTCATTGCTTTAAATGCTGTCCTTTTAAAAGGTATCACCAGTGGTGTAGGGCACATGGATAATATTCATTATCTTAATCGATTTAGAGACTATGGAAACTGAGGTAGCAATGAAGCAGTTTACCTATTATAATATTGTAGTCCTGAAATTTTAGGAACCTGTCATACCTCATAGATATATCCAATTTATTTTTTTAAGACTTTATTCATGAGAGACAGAGAGTGAGGCAGAGACCTAGGCATAGGGAGAAGCAGGCTTCCTGCAGGGAGCCTGATGTGTGACTCCATCCAAAGACCCCAGGATCACTACTTGAGCTAAAGGCAGATGCTCAACCACTGAGCCACTCAGGTGCCCCCTTTTATTATTTTTTTTAAGCTTTTTTTTTTTTCTCTATTTGAGAGAGAGCAAGCACAAGTAGGGGGAGAGGCAGAGGGAGAAGGAGGAACAGACTCTGCGCTGAGCAGGGAGCCCCACATGAGGCTCCACCGGAAGACTATAGGTTCATGACCTGAGCTGAAGTCAGCCCCTTCACTGACTGAGCCACCCAAGCATTCCTATCCAAATCTTTGATATTGAGGTGGGCAAAAGTGTGCATGTGTGGTTTTAAATGGGAATAAACATGGGGCACCTCTGTGGCTCAGCTGGTTAAGTGGCTGACTTTGGCTTGGTCATGATTTCTGGGTCCTGGGGTAGAGTTCAGAGCCAGTTTGCCGGCTCAGCAGGCAATCTGCTTATCCTTCCCTCTAACCTCTGCCCCTAGGCTCCTCCTGCTCTCTTTCTCTCTCAAATAAATAAATAAAATTTAAGAAAATAAACAAGATAAACAGGAATGAACGGGAAAGTCCTTTTTATTCCTTGCCCTTCCCATGGACTTACCATGTACATCAGATGGGCTTCAGTATTTGTTATTGAGAAACATTCTTGGGCAATTTATTTTTTGAACAGACACAAGCAGGTGATCAAAGATACACTACCCCACAACCACATTTTTTAGGAAGAGCCAGACATACTCTTTCTTCTTGGACCTTAAACTCTGAATTTTCTCTAAAAGTTTAGTATTATTGAATTTTAAATGTAACCTTATTCACTTCAGAAGGAATGAATAACTAAGACACACAACACCATAGATCAATCTTAGAATAATTATGTTGAGTGAAATATGCCAGACAAAAAAAAAGAGTAAATACCATATCAATTCCACTTATTTAAAATGTGGAAAATACCAGAAACACAAGGAAACCTTAACCAGGTTCATTATCCTGATTGTGGTGATAGACGCCAAAACTTACATATTGTATACTGTAAATATGTGCAGCTTACTGTGTGTCAGTTATACCTCAATGAAGCTGTTTAAAATTTAAATATAAATTAAAACAAGCAGAGGCATTCTGTAACCTAGAGATTGCTTGTTTAGTGTTTTTTAGTTCAATAAACAATGACACTCCTTTAACAGGAACCATGGGGTGAAAAAGGATCTATCCTTCCTCAAGATTTAAGATTTGTATTTCTTCACACTCACAAGGTAGTTGACTCTTCCTCTGAGGAGAAAAAAAAAGGTAATGGCCTCAACTTTCATCTTTCTTAGATTGTTTTTGTCACTAATGATTGCAGATTTGTTTTCTACTTTCTATCTCTTGGGCAAGCATTTTCTGAGCTTATCTTTTTTTTTTAAATTTTTATTTATTTATGATAGTCACAGAGAGAGAGAGAGAGAGGCAGAGACATAGGCAGAGGGAGAAGCAGGCTCCATGCATCGGGAGCCCGACTATTCGATCCCGGGTCTCCAGGGTTGTGCCCTAGGCCAAAGGCAGGCGCTAAACCGCTGCGCCACCCAGGGATCCCTGAGCTTGTTGTTATCAAAGAAGAAATAGCTTGATTTCAAAACTAACTTTTATGATTTAAAAAAATGAAAATGTACATTTATGTCTGGTACATAGTTTGCTAATATTGAAACAGCCATTCTTTTTTTTTTAATTTTTATTTATTTATGATAGTCACAGAGAGAGAGAGGCAGAGACACAGACAGAGGGAGAAGCAGGCTCCATGCACCGGGAGCCCGACGTGGGACTCGATCCCGGGTCTCCAGGATCGCGCCCTGGGCCAAAGGCAGGCGCCAAACCGCTGCGCCACCCAGGGATCCCTGAAACAGCCATTCTTAAGAACTTGACAAGGCTGCTTTCATTTTTCTTTTCTTTTCTTTTTTTTTTTTTTTTAAGATTTTGAGTAATCTCTACACCCAACATGGGGCTTGAACTCATGACCCCAAGATCAAGAGTCGAATGCTCTACCAACTGAGGCAGCCAGGCACCTGCCCACCCTCCTCCCCCTTTTTCATTTTTCTGAGAGACTCAGCCATCAGCCTCTATGGCTCTCTTTCTGAATCACCTTACTTTTTGTTTTTGTTTATTTTTTAAGTTTTTTAAAAAATATTTTATTTATTTGACAGTGAGAGTGAGTACAAGCAGGGGGAGTGGCAGGCAGAGGGAGAGGGAGAAGCAGGCTCCATCCCAATACAGGGCTCAATCCCAGGACCCTGGGATGATGACCTGAGCCAAAGGCAGATGCTTAACTGACTGAGCCATCCAGGCTCCCCTGAATCACCTTCCTTTGCCTGAACTTTTTTTTTTTTTTTTTTAGGTCATAATCTCTTCTTGAGGCAGTTTGTCTCTGATTCTCCAAACTCACTGTCGTGGCATTCTACCTTCTTCTGTGGTCCATTTTCTATTTCCTTCACATAGCATTCTTGTTTTTACCAATAAGAAGAAAGGAAAATATAAGGAGAGCTTCTTCGGAGTCTTGAAGGACACATGGGAGTTAAGTGGGAAAAGAAAGGAGGTGACCATTGATGTGAAATGTTGGGGTTCAGACCAAAGAGTCAAGAAAGAATTCTTGAAATGTCTTCAGTGCAAACAAATAGTTTTATTAAAGCACAGTGACAGAACCTGTGGACAGAAAAAGCTGCCCTGGGATTGTAAGCAGCAAGTGATTTTATACTTTCAAGTTGGGAGGAGGTTAACTTAAGTCTCCAAGGAATTTTGGAAGCAAGTTTTCCAGGACCCTGAAGGGGCTAGGAGCTATTGTTAGGAAAAAGTCATTTATTACAGTCTACTAAAACCCTAGTCATAAGGCCCTTCAGATGTATATCAGTGGGCCATATGCTTGGAGGATGATTGCTAACATAGATCTTGGGGGTAGAGATAAAGGGAGTTTCCAAAGGAATCTTTATATGTTAAAGGATCCTGGAAATTGGGGTAATGTTAAACTAGGATTGCCTTTTGCCCTTAGTAAAGTATTAACATCAAGGCAGCTGAGCTCCTAGAGAAGGTCATTCTCTCTGTCTCAGTGACTTGACAATGGGCTGAAAGTAGTAAGGAAATTTAATTTTTTCCTTTTGCCTTTGTTCCCCACAAAAACCAGATGGTTCTTAGCAATGAGGAGGGTGTGCACAAGGGCACAGAGATGAGACACAGCACACATAGGCTGGGAGAGACAATTGGTTCAGTGCTGTAGGATTGAGGTAAGTATATCATGGAGGGCCTTGTGCAGCAAGATGGGACATCTACTTTATTCCGTGAGTGGGGGGCAGCCCTGGTGGCTCAGCGGTTTAGCGCCGCCTACAGCCCAGGGCGTGATCCTGGAGACCCGGGATTGAGTCCCACGTCGGGCTCCCTGCATGGAGCCTGCTTCTCCCTCTGCCTGTGTCTCTGCCTCTCTCTCTCTCTCTCTCTCTCTCTCTCTCTCTCCTCTCTGTGTATTCTCATGAATAAATAAGTAAAAAATCTTAAAAAAAGAAAAAGATATTCCGTGAGTGGGGAAAAGCCAGAGTTTTAAACAAGGGAAGGTCTGGGTCAGATGTATAACTCTGAAAAATCTATCTGGCAACCAAAGTAAGATTGGGGTTTGACAAAATCTGGACAGAGAGGTCATTTTGGAGGCCGTTGTAGTAATTCAGTGAAGGAGAATGAGGGCTTGAACAAAATAGGTAGATGGAATTGAGAAATATTTAGAATAAAAAAATCAACAAGACCAAGTGATTCATTATCAGTTTCAGGACTGGGGTGTCAGAAACACAAGGGAAAAAAAATATCTTTCCTTCTACCCTTCTAGGTTCTTGGCTGGGGCTCTGAAACAAAAGACAGACGAACAAAAGAAAAGCATACAAATTAGTTTTTAAGTATGTTTTACATGACATGAAAGCCTTCATAAGGAAATGAAAACCCAACAAAGCAGTTTAACCAGATTGTTTTTGTGAAGAGTGGTAGGTTGTGAGGCAAATGCAAAGGACAAAAGGATATGAGCTAAGGATAGTAAACTGGAAGAAATTTAGCAAGGGCTGTTCTTCTGATTCCTCTCTGCATCTAAGGGTGGTATATGCAAAACTATCTCCAAAGGCTGAAGAGCCCTAAGACCAAAGAAAAAAACCTGGTAAGTCCAGCTTGACAACAAATAATTTACCAAAGGGACTTTCGTGTCTTGGGCAGCGGCAAGATGAGTAGATCTCTGTGATCCTACCTCTCATGAGGCTCACTTTTTTAGCCCTACGGGTAAGGGAATATGTCTTGGGAGACCACCCACAGAAGAAATATTTGAGAATAGTTGTGTCAAAATCGTATCTCCAGAGCAAGTCAAGGATGTTATGCCCCAAGGGTACTTAAGGGTGTGGTTAGACAAAAAGAAGTTGTGGGAGGGGTGCAGCTGTGCTGGAGAAGGCTTCAGGTGACAAAGAGGTAGTCAAGGTGGATTAATCCAAGATGACGTTAGTCCAGCTCACATAGCTCCCCTCTGTCTGCAGAGGTAGCAAAAGTCTCCTGCTGATAAAGGGAGGGCATCTCCCACATGAAGGTCTTATGATCTGTTTGAGGAGAGACAGGAGGGGTCAGTGGCGGTCTTCCTTGTACCTACCCTCTCTCAAAATCTTTCAGCTTAAAATGTTCAATATGCCAACAAATTTGGGGTAGTGTGTCCTGAACCCCATCAGAGACAAGGAAGGACCAAAAATAACTCCCTAGTTACTAGGCTGACTGGGAGGAGAATGGTATCTCTGAGTGAAATAGAAAGTACAAGAGAGGGCAGCCCTGGTGGCTCAGCGGTTTAGCGCTGCCTTCAGCCCAGGGCCTGATCCTGGAAACCTGGGATCGAGTCCCATGTCGGGCTCCCTGCATGGAGCCTGCTTCTCCCTCTGTCTGTGTCTCTGCCTCTCTCTCTCTCTGTCTCTCATGAATAAATAAATAAAATCTTAAAAAAAAAAAAAAGAAAGTACAAGAGACTGATTAGTTTAGGGCAAGGGGAACAATGAATTCAGTTTAGGACCATTAAAAGATAAACTGAGGCATATTAAAATTATTAAGAGCTTATTTGAGAAAAATTCAGCTTGAATCAAACAGCATCAAACTGGAAGTGATTAGGAGCCCTCTGCAAACGGCTGTCAGGGAAAAATCTTTAAAAAAATCATAATGGAATAATCTAACAGTATTCTGGCATAATGTTGTAGGAACATGCAAAATGTAAATTTGTTCCACAGAACTGAATCATTATTCCACATACTTTTTTAAAAATAAATTAATTTTTATTGGTGTTCAATTTACCAACATACAGAATAACACCCAGTGCTCATCCTGTCAAGCGTCCCCCTCAGTGCCCGCCACCCACTCACCCCCACCCCCCGCCCTCCTCCCCTTCCACCACCCCTAGTTCATTTCCCAGAGTTAGGAGTCTTTATGTTCTGTGTCCCTTTCTGATATTTCCACACATTTCTTCTCCCTTCCCTTATATTCCCCTTCGCTATTATTCATATTCCCCAAATGAATGAGAACATACACTGTTTGTCCTTCTCCGATTGACTTACTTCACTCCGCATAATACCCTCCAGTTCCATCCACGTTGAAGCAAATGGTGGGTATTCGTCGTTTCTAATGGCTGAGGAATATTCCATTGTGTACATAAACCACATCTTCTTTATCCATTCATCTTTCGATGGGCACCGAGGCTCCTTCCACAGTGTGGCTTTTGTTCCACAAACTTTTTTTTTTTTTTTTTTAAATTTTTTTTAATTTTTATTTATTTATGATAGTCACAGAGAGAGAGAGAGAGAGAGGCAGAGACACAGGCAGAAGGAGAAGCAGGCTCCATGCACCGGGAGCCCGACATGGGATTCGATCCTGGGTCTCCAGGATCGCGCCCTGGGCCAAAGGCAGGCGCTAAACCGCTGCGCCACCCAGGGATCCCCTCCACAAACTTTTTATATCAAGAACAATCATGTAAAAACAAAGAGCAATTATGTTTCACAGGGTATCAACTTAAACTAACTGGCGTTCTGTAGGAAATTTAAGATTTTGTACTGGTATTAAGTCGAACTGATCAACGGTGATTCTCGGATGTCTTAGATACGTTCTAAGCACAATTTTAAGTTCATATCGCTTTGCTTCTTATTTTCATGTACTACAGAGGCTGTATCTCTGGGTCAGATTAACAGACGTACTCATTCCTGTCGCTTAGGAGAACGTGTATGATGCCTGTAGTGGCTGTAGAAAGCAGTTTTGCTTTTTTAAGGTCTTACTTCTTCATTCACGAGAGACACACAGAGAGAGGCAGAGGGGAGCCCGATGCCAGACGCGAGCACAGCCTGAGCCAAAGGCAGGCGCTTCAGCACGGGGCCACCCAGGCGCCCCCAGCGTAGTGCGTATATACTTGGGGATTTTGTCAGCCTCCTAGGGTGCTAGAATAGGACAGTTCTCAACTAGTCACCTTCTCGAGAAGGATGGCAGGGACGGACAGAGTAGACTGCACCAGTGCCAGTCCCTGCGGGGGGCGTGAACCCAACACAGCGAGGAGAGGAGGAAACCCGCTAGGAACTCCGGGAAGCGTTCCTCGACCAGAGACCCGGGTCTCCCGCCGCCCCGCCCCGCCCCGCCCCCGCCCGCGCTGACTCCTCTTCCCGGCAAGCCTCAGCTTCCTCCGCGCCGCGCCAAGGCTTCCTCCTTTCTCCGGTACCACACGTCATCATTCTCGCTTCCCTGTAACTAAGGCGATGAGAGAGGGACTTCCTGCTTACGGGGGCGGTAATCGTGTCGGATCTGGGCGGATCCTTGAGGCCTGCCGGCCCGGCTGCACCTAGGAAGCAGCCCAGCACTGGCGCTTTCTGAAGTGCAGACGTTCAGAGGAACTTAGGTTCTGAGGAATTGTGGTTTTGTGGACTAGGGGGCGACTGTCTTGCCCTGTTCCAAGATGGCGGCGCGGCTTCACGGAGAGTCTCGCTTCCGCTCCTCCGCCGCGGAGCCCCTCGTTGATTGGCCAGCGGACGGCGCCGTGGTGTGACGCACAGGGGCGCTGACCAGTGGGCTGAGAGCTGAGCTGGACTTGGCGGTGGGAGCCGGATCCGCGATCTGACCGCGGTGGGTTCTCGCGCGCTCCGGTGAACGGCTCCCGCCCGGTGAGTGCGAGCGCGGGCGCCAGGGGGCCGAGGGGCTTGCTCCCGGGAGGAAGCCTTCTCTCGGCGGGCGGAGGAGCTGAAGCACTCGGTGGCTCAGGGGTCCGCTGAGGGGGACGCGTTCTTCGCCTGGCGGTGCGGCCGGCGGGCGTCTGGGTCGGGACCCCCCGGACCGCGGGTGCGGGAGGATCCAACTTTCGTTTTACAGTTGAGTAACCCGAAATGCTGGTGAAATGACCTGACTAGTGCTTCGTGGCAGCTGGAACTAGAACCCGGGTCTCCGACTACCTTTCCAGAATTCAACTTTGTTTAAACTTGGCCACTGTGTCCTGAAAAGTTATGCGGTGTTGGGATGAACGGTTCAGTTTTTCGTGTGTGTTTTTTCTTTTTCTTTTGGCAGATACTGCTACAAAAATCTTCCAAGTTCTTTCATTTACTCATTCATTTAACTCATTCGTGCAGCTGTTAACCTTTTCAGATAATCTTCTTTGAGAATATGATATGATCGACCGCCCTAGAAAAATGCACATTTGCTCTTGCACACAATTTTGCGTACGTTTCCAGGGGTGTATTGATCCTCTAAAGTCTCCCGTTGGTTTTGTGCCCAGAGTTGAGAATCCATCGTCTAGAAGAGGGGAGGGGAGGAGGCAGTGGGAAACAGAAAGAGCAGCTTTCAGTACGAAGCTGCCTGGGGACCTTGATTGGAGCCAGTACCTTTTAATAATGAATTGTTTTGAGTGGGGAAACAGTTATTTAATGAAGCCTTTAGAGGTACTTGCCGAGAATTGTGATATTAGAACTTGCTTTGATTCCCACCTGACTTATCCATCCCTTTGCCACTCAGGTAAGCTGCGCAAGTGCCTCCTGCGTAAAGGGTGCTTCTGTTTCCTGCCTTTGCCAGAAATAACAAATACATGCTTTAGAGTTTGAGTTAGAGCAAACATTTGGAATATTTGTGGTCTGAGTTGTGTGTAGTAAACTAATTCTTCCATTTGCTTTTCTAGCCATATAAAATCATTCTTTTAGTCCACGTTATTTACAGTATGGCACTTCTTATAACAACAGGGACAGTTATTCACCACTGCATGAAGTGAGCACTAGAGGCTACTAATAATGTGGTTCTTTAATTTGCCTGTTTTTCCATTTTTCTTGAGGGACTTGTTCCCTTAATCCCTAGTGGCTCAGATGTCTGTTAGCCTTAGCCTAGATGTTAGGACATAAACAGAATGTGTGAAGCATTCAGTAGAGTTGGCATTGTGTAGGTTTGCAAGCTTGGTCTATATGGCTATGTTATTTATTCTTTAAAAAAAAAAAACATTTATTTATTCATGAGAGGCAGAGACACAGGCAGAGGGAGAGGAGAAGCAGACTCTTCACAGGGAGCCTAGTACGGGACTCAGCCCAGGATCACACCTGGAGCCAAAGGCAGACACTCAACTGCTGAGCCACCCAGGCGTCCCTACGTGGTTATTTTATTAACCAGAATTTGTTGGGAGTATGAGCATAAGCAGCCATGGTGAGGTGAGAAGTCCTGGTGAAGGACTCACTCAATATGATAGCAAACAGCATTGTGATTTTGGTGGTCCTAAGTAGAAATACTTTGGCTCAGAACTGGTGGTGCTTCTCATTATGAATTAGATTCACACGTCAACATCCAGTTCTGGTCTCCACTGTTAACAAAGAGAGGAGGGGAAAGGGCACAAAACAAGGTCACTTGCGATGTAAAATTTATTACAGTGTTCTAATAAAGCAAGGAAGGAAAGGGGTCAGTGAGGAAGGTAGCTGGATGCTGAAACAGGGTTTGAGACTTATTCTTGGGCAAGGGGAATTGGAATTGGCTTGGTTGATATGTATGATCTATGAGAAGGTTTACGTTAGAATTCAACTACTTATAGCTTTAAAATGATCAAATAAGAGTAAACTTCTGTCACCTTTTATTTATTTAAGTGCTAGAGTTGAGAAAGGAATGATTGTCAAAGGGATCCCTGGGTGGCGCAGCGGTTTGGCGCCTGCCTTTGGCCCAGGGCGCGATCCTGGAGACCCGGGATCGAGTCCCACGTCGGGCTCCCGGTGCATGGAGCCTGCTTCTCCCTCTGCCTGTGTCTCTGCCTCCCTCTCTCTCTCTCTCTCTCTCTCTCTCTCTGTATGACTATCGTAAATAAAAAAAAAAAAAAAAAAAAGGAATGATTGTCAAAGATAATTGGCTTTTGGGGGTTAAAGGGAAGGGAGATGTCATGCTATAGTGACTGGTTCTTCCAGACTAAGTGTTTTAAAAACATTGCATTAGGTGACCATCCTCTTTTTTGACATTTAGTTGAGAATGTCACATAAAATTACAGCTTATCTTCAGTTTCTTTTTAGACTATGGCAACATATCTGGAGTTCATTCAGCAGAATGAAGAACGAGATGGTGTGCGCTTTAGTTGGAACGTGTGGCCGTCCAGCCGTCTCGAGGCTACAAGAATGGTTGTTCCCCTGGCTTGTCTCCTTACTCCTTTGAAAGAACGTCCAGACCTGCCTCCTGTACAGTATGAACCTGTGCTTTGTAGCCGGCCAACTTGCAAAGCTATTCTCAATCCACTTTGGTATGAGTTCTTTTTAAAACTAGTGAAGGGCAGCCCCGGTGGCTCAGCAGTTTAGTGCCTGCCTTCAGCCCAGGGCGTGATCTCGGAGACCCGGGATCGAGTCCTACGTCAGGCTCCCTGCATGGAGCCTGCTTCTCCCTCTGCTTGTGTCTCTGCCACCCCACCCCCCTGTCATGAATAAATAAAAATCATAAATAAATAAATAAATAAATAAATAAATAAATAAATAAATAAATAAATAAATAAATAGAAACTAGTAAAAAGGAATACAGCAAATTATGGCTTTTGGGCACTGATTCAATTTGAGCAAGTCATCAAATATGAGATGAGTGAGTGATGAGATTCTTAGTTGGTGAATGCTTATAAAGTCTCCCTGGCCTAATACTCCAGATACAATTGGGACTTACGGGAAAAAGGTGGAAGTAAAGAGAAAGGATTTAAAATTCACTCTTTTCCTTCTTTTTTTTTTTTTTAATTTCAGTTTACTTTTGGCTTAACCGTAGATTATATTGATGACTCTTGAAGCATTCCCTTCCGCCCCCCAATTGAAAAGTTTTAGACGGTTTTCTCATACTTACCTAGTATGGTGATGGTGTATGGTAGGAAGTGATAGGCAGAAGAAATCACAACTCTTAATAATTGTTAATTGTAATTTTTTATACCTGAGATAGTGACCTATGATATTTCTCTTAAATGTGGGCATTCATTATCTGAAAGAATTTTTTAGACAGATGAAGAGTATCACAAATATTCTTTAAAAGGTAAGATTTGGGGGCATCCCTGGTGGCTCAGTGGTTTAGCGCCGCCTTTGGCGCAGGGCGTGATCCTGGAGACCCGGGATTGAGTCCTGTATCGGGCTTCCTGCATGGAGCCTGCTTCTCCCTCTGCCTGTGTCTCTGCCTCTCTCTCTCTGTGTGTGTCTCTCATGAATAAATAAATAAAATCTTTTAAAAATAAATAAAAAGATAAAAGGTAAGATTTTTATATGAGGGAATTTTTTTTATTGCATTCCCCTTGCTGTTACTTAATGTTCCTATGTGTGAGATGCTGTTGTTCTTCCTTTTGAAGAGATAGCCATTTCTTATTAACTTTCTAAATGTAAAAAGGTGGGGAAAAGCAACTGAAGCATTATCTTTAACCAGTTCTAGGAAGTGTATCAACCCAGAAGCATGCCTCCCAACCTTTTCAAGTGAGCTAGGTGAGGTGAAAGTCAGGCAAGTTTTTCCTGTGCATGAAATGTGTTTTTAGTATTGAAATTTAAGAGTTTCACATATCTGCCTAATAAAGATGTTAGAAAAAAATCGCAGATTATGTTAAGATAAGTTGCCAAAAGGGAATAACCTATAATTTATAAAAAATCATGAAATTTTAAATATTAATCTTTTTTTTTTTTCTAAAGATTTTTTATTCATTCACTCAGAGCAAAGAGAGGGGCAGAGACACAGGCAGAGGGAGAAGCAGGCTCCATGCAGGAAGCCCTACGTGGGACTCCATCCCGGGTCTCCAGGATCACACCCCAGGCTGTAGGCGGCGCTAAACCACTGCGCCACCAGGGCTGCCCTGAAATTTTAAATATTATCAAGGAAATGAGAAAAAATAAAAAAAGATTTACTAACTTTTCATTGTACAGTAGGGAGGACATTTTTGGTGTACCTAGCAGTCAGAACTCTTAACTGCAGTGGGCATTTTGCATACCTCCATCCATTCATGCGCATGCACAGAAATATATTTATGTGATTTACTGAACTTGAGGATTGCATTTGAATGCTTTCTACATTAACAATGAAAATGGTACTTAGCTGTAATATTTATTTTTCTCACAGTCAGGTTGATTATCGAGCAAAACTTTGGGCCTGTAATTTCTGTTTCCAAAGAAATCAGGTATGTGAATTTTTTTAAAAAGTTTTTCTAAAAAAAAAAAATAAATAAATAAATAAAAAGTTTTTCTGTGTTTCATTTTAGTGGAACAATTCTAAAAAAAATTAAGTGAGGTTGAATTTATGTCTGCTGTGGTAGTCTTCAATTTCTGCTGAACTCAAGGTGATAGCTTTTGTTAAGCATCATTGAACGCGGAACATTTGTGATTTCTCTTGAACAGCAACTCAGTTTCGTTATGTGGGTTTTTATCATTTAGTGTGGAGGGACATAGAAATCACTTTTTTTTATGTGCTCTTTAGTAGTGAGTATGTTACCGTAAGATAACAGATACGTTGTCTGTATTTCATTTGACTTTAGTTTATTCTAATTGGATAGTGTACATTACTAAATTTTCATTTTTTGATCTTTGTAACTTTTAGGGTTCAGGTACCAGTGTTAAGCCTCTTTTGATTTAAAAATTTTAAAACTAATCTAGAAGAGCTCAAAAATGATGAGAGAAACCTCTGGTTAAAATAAACTATGCCTATGATTCTAAAACTGGATTGTGTTGATCTTTGTACAACTTTGCACGTTTACTAAAAATCATTGAATTATATATTTAAAAGAGTGAATTTTTATGGTATATGAGATATATCTCAGTAAAGTTAGAGAAAAATTAGTTGTTCCCAACATAGTATACAATGCTCTAGTAATCTTAAGATATTAATAAGATGCATTTATTTATTCTTATATTTGATTATAATTAACAGTTTCATTCTCAGATACATCACACAGTAAGCCCAGTGATGAATAGACCAATCAATGTACTAAGTATAGGCCTGGAAGTTAGAAGCACATACCATTCAAAATTTACCTCCACAAGAGATTCAGAAGTATATGCAAATTCTTAAGACTTAGCCATGCCCTACTACATTCAGAATTGAGGTCTGTGTTTATATAATTTTTAAGATTTTAATTTTAAGGGGCACCTGAGTGGCTCAGTTGGTTAAGCATCTGCCATTGGCTCAGGTCATGATCTCAGGGTCCTGGGATCGAGCCCTACATTGGGCTCCCTGTTTAGCAGGGAGTCTATTTCTCCCTCTCCCTCTCCCTCTGGTACTCCCCATTCTTGTGCTCTCTCTTTCCCTTTATTGCTCTGTCAAATAAATAAAATCTTTTA